TCTCAAATAAATAAATAAAATCTTTAAAAAAAAAAAAAAAAAAAAAGAATCTAAAACCTCAGGGTGCCTGCGTGGCTCAGTCGCTAAGCGTCTGCCTTCGGCTCAGGTCATGATCCCAGGATCCTGGGACCGAGCCCTGTTCGGCGGGAAGCCTGCTTCTCCCTCTCCCACTCCTGCTTGTGTTCCTGCTCTGGCTGTCTCTCTATCAAATAAATAAATTAAAAATCTTAAAAAAAAAAAAAAAAGAATCTAAAACTTCATCTCCCATTTCTTCATCCAGATATTACTCATCTTCCAAAATTTAGCTTTTAGCTCACGTTCTTGAACAAAGGCTTATTAACCTTAACTATACCAGCTGATAACAATCTATCCCTTAATGAACTTCCAATAATGCTTATTTTGTATTGCTTATGCACCATCTTCTACTTAGCAATTTATGTTCTTTCTTTTGTCAACCACAGGACAGGCTCCTTTAAAAAAAAAAAAAAGATTGTATTTATTTATTTGTCAGAGACAGAGAGAGAGGGAGCACAAGGACAAGCAGGGAGAATGGCAGGCAGAGGGAGAAGCAGGCCCCCTGTTGAGCAAGGAGCCAGATGCGGGATTCAATCCCAGGACCCTGGGATCATGACCGGAGCCATAGGCAGATGCTTAACTGACTGAGCCACGCAGGCATCTTTGGACAGGCTCCTTTTAAAGGGCAAAAATTATAACATGTACAAGTCTATATCATACTCTTCTCCATCCCCAGCCCAGAACCCATCACTGTGCCCTGCCTACAGTAAAAATCTGAGGAATGACCACCAAGTAAATTATTTACCTACCTAACTACTTCTTTCCAGTGTTATAAGTCCAGTTAAGTTCTTTCTCTAGTAACTTTTTTGTCTACCTGGCCGCTATAGATGTTTATTATCTCCAGTCTTCTTATCTCAGGGTTGTGTTTGAGTGTGTGTGTGTGTATAAATTCTTAGGTATTAGAATCTTTTTCTCCAGTGAAATTGTAAGCTCTCATAATCTTATAATACCACAAGTAGTAAAAAGTGCTTACTAAATACTTTTTGGAAAAAACATTTAATTAAGAAAAATGATGTAACTGGTTTCTTCTGATTTTCTTTCCCAAGTTAGTTAAGACCTCATTAGAAAACAATTCAATGTGAGATACACAGATACATTTCTCTTCCTAAGAAAGTATTTCTAGGAAAGGTAAGAAAGGGACCACACAATAGAATTTGCACAAATAAATGGGTATTGTTCTTTAAAAAAGAAAAACCAAATTCCCAAAGATCAGTTTGTTACAAATAAAAATGCATAAAGATCCTTTGATTCTGCTGTAGCGTCTGCCTGGTTCTCTCAATAAGTTTCATAAAATTTTTGATAGGTATGCATTTTTTTTAAATATAAGGAGATAATATTTTAAAATTCTTTTTCCTGGTAATCATATTATACTATAGATTTAGACTGCCTAATAAAAATATATGCTATAGAAATGCACAGAATTGAAAAACAACCAGATACCTAATTTATAGAAAATAGCATCAGAGTTCTGATTATGTCACAGTGTGAACAGGAGAGAGAAAAACCAGCATATTTTCCACTGACACCTGTTTCAATGGGAGAATTTTCTAGCAAATGTAATAATAATCACTTTTGTGCAAAATGTGTTTCAATGAAGGGCCATCTATTTTACAGTTAGATAAAAATTCCTAAGAGTAATGATAGTGAGAAGGGCGCTCAGGGTTACTAGAGGTCGAAGATGTTGATATGACCAGCAACAAAAGGGTACCTGGAAATGGATGCTAACATAAGGAAATAGATGTGTTCTGTTTTTTTGGCAACAGTTGATTCCAAATTTGGCAAAACTTCTAAGATCTGGAGAGGTACCAAACTAGAGAAAGAATAAGAAATTCAGCTCTAGAGATAAGCCATGTTTATGGTACTACTTAACACTCTAAAAATGAATCTGCTCTCTGAGGATGTAAATATAGAAAGTTAAGAGCAGTGGGCCAAGAACTGAGCCTTGGAAATTTCTAGAGGTGTCAGGCTAAAAAACAAAGAATAGGTAAGAATAAAGGTAAGAACAAAGCAAGCAAGAAAAAAAATTGGAGAATGCAGTTTCATATAGTTAATGGGAGAAATGATTATCACGCACTTCAAATGCTTTGGAAAAAGTGAAGCTTAGATCATTTGGAAAATGAGAAAAATTACATAAAAGGATATAGGGTTCCAAGTGAGAAGAATTACTGAAGAAATAATGAAGAAAGACTATTTAAGTGGTGCAACTTTATGAACTTCACAAATGAAGCAAAGTGATGTCTGCTGATGAATGCCCAAAGTCTATAAAATAAGCCTCTATGATACTTTGTCATTAAGGTACTGTTTCATTTTTTAAACATCTTGAATTTATTACAGGCCTTATGCTTCATTCTATAAACAGCTGGTATTTGTTGAAAGGAAGCATTTTACGTATGATTCACTTGTGACATCTCATAATTAAAATTCCAGATAAAATGAGTGGTTTAATTTTTGTTTTCCTGTTACATTTTGCATCTGCTTACTCCTAAAGGAACTAGAAAAAGAACAAAGCCCATAGTAGAAGGAAGGAAAATAAGATGAAAGCAGAAATAAATGAAATAACGAGTTAAAAAAAACAATAGAAAAGATTAAAGAAACCAAGAGTCAGTCTTTGAAAAGATAAACAAAATTGATAAACTTTTATCCAGACCCATCAAAAAAAAGAGGACTCAAATAAAATCAGAAATGAAAGAGAAGTAATAACTGACACCACAGAGAGACAAAGGATTATAAGAGACTACTATGTAAATTATATGCCAACAAATTATACAACCTAGAAAAAATGGATAAATTCCTAGAAATATTCAATCTTCTAAAACTGAATTGGGAAAAAATCTAACAGACCAGTAAGTAGTAATTAAATTGAATCATTAATCAAAAATCCCCCAGCACTTGAAGTAATGAGCACTAGGTGTTGTACGCAACTGATGAATCACTAAATTCTACTTCTGAAACTAATAATACAGTATATGTTAATTAAATTGAATTTAAATTAAAAAAAATTTTAAATCCCCCAACAAAAGTCCAGGACCAGATGGATTCACAGGTGAATTTTACCAAAGATTTAAAGAAAAAAGAAGGGAGGAAGGAAGGAAGAGAAGAACGAAGGAAGGAAGAAAGAAAAGAGTTAATACCTATTCTTCTCAAACTATTCCAAAAAATAGAAAAAGACAAGAACAAGTTTTGGTAAGGGTGTGGAGAAAAAGGAATGCTTGTGCACTGTTGGTGGGAATGTAAATTGGTGCAGCCACTGTGGAAAACAGTATGGAGGTTCTTCAAAATATTAAAAATAGAAACACTATACAATCCAGTAATTCCAGTACTGGTATTTACCCAAAGAAAATGGAAACACCAATTCAAAAAGATCCATGCACTCCTATGTTTATTGCAACATTATTTACAATAGCCAAGAAACAGAAGCAACCCAGTGTCCATTGACAGATGAATGGATAAAGATGAGTGATATGTATGTATACACACACACATATACACAGACACACACACTGGAATATTACTCAGCCATAAAAAAGAATGAGATCTTGCCATTTGTGACAATATGGATGGATCCAGAGGGTATTATGCTAAGTGAAATAAATCAGCCTGAAAAGACAAATACCCTATGATTTCACATATATGTGGAATTTAGGGAAAAAAATGAGCAAAAAAAAAAACACACAGAAACAGACCCATAAATACAGAGAACTGGTGGTTGCAGAGGGGAGGAAGGGGGAATGGATAAAATGGATTAAAGAGAGTGGGAGGTACAGGCTTCCAGTTATGGAATCATCATCATTCATTTGCCAGATAGTCTCCCATTGACTGTAATCAAGTCACTGCCTTGCTCAAAAATGTTTAATGTCTTCCCATTACTTCTAGTTTAAAATGCAAGCTCTTTAATCTGACAGTCAAGGTTCTCAACATTTGGCTCCACTTGAAATTTTTAGGGTCTTCTTACCTATTGGAATCCTCTGCTATAGCCAACATATTCCCTCCAATTCCCAGAAATGCATTTTATATTTTCCCATCACTATCCCTTTTCCTGATCCTTAGCCCCCTCTCCACCCTCCTTTCTCAAACTCTAACTCCAATACCGTCTCCTGCATGAAGCATCTCATGGTAAGTGCAGCCTGTAGCCTTTTCTTCCTTAGAACTTATAATATTAACTTCTATAGGGGTGCATGGGTGGCTCAGTCAGTTAAGCGTCTGCCTTCGTCTCAGGTCATGATCCCAGGGTCCTGGGATCGAGGCCCACATCGGGATCCCTGCTCAGCGGGGAGCCTGCTTCTCCCTCTCTCTCTCTGCCTGCCGCTCCCCCTGCTTGTGCTCTCTCTCTGTCAAATAAATGAATAAAATCTTTAAAAAATATATTCACTTCTATATATGTTGCACTACATTAGTTTGTACACATATCTCTAATTTTTTTAGGCTTCTTGAGGACCAACTCCATGCCTTGTATTATTTTATATCTTGAATTGCACTGTACAGGTAGTAGGTAATCAGTAAATATCTGTCAAAAGGTACTAACAAATAACCAGTAAAGATTTGGCAAGTTCTGGGGATTATAATATAGGAAAGCATTTATGATGCACCTCAAAGAAAATTAAGTACTACAACTTGTTAAAGACAAAAACAGTTACATAAAGTGTCTGACTGAGCGAACGGTCTTCATCTTTCCAAACATTTATTAAAATACATTTATAAAAGGACTATTAAGCTTAACACATTTTGGGTTAAATCAGAATCATGGGAACAGGGGCGCCTGGGTGACTCAGTCATTAAGCGTCTGTCTTCGGCTCAGGTCATGGTCCCAGGGTCCTAGGATCGAGCCCCACATCGGGCTCCCTGCTCGGCGGGAAGCCTGCTTCTCCCTCTCCCACTCCCCTGCTTGTGTTCCCTCTGTCACTGTGTCTCTCTGTCAAATAAATAAAATTAAAAAAAAAAAAAAGAATCATGGGAACAGACCACACGTTACTAAGCTTTATGAAACTCCAAATGCTTTGTTTCATATTAGAACAATAACAATATATCCTTGGTGATTATCTCATTCACCTTCTTCATGTTCCCTCCAAGAGCAGGATAAGGAGGTTTGTTGACCTGGCTCCAGTTGACTGGCACGCGGATCATTTCATAGAGCTGAAAGACCACTAAAGCATCTGCAAGGTCACTAAAACAAGAGGAAAAGATGATGAAGGAGGAGGAAATTTTATTAAGCACAATGGACATAGGCTTAAGTCTTCAAAAACACAACAGGGTCATTTAATGCTTAAAAAAATGACATGACAAGGGCAACTAGGTGGCTCAGTCAGTTAAGTGACCAACTCGTGATTTAGGCTCAGGTCATAATCTCATGGGTCATGAGATCAAGCCCTCTGTCTGACTCCATTTTCAGCAGGGAATCTGCTTGAGCTTCTCTCCCTCTGCCCCTCCCTCCACTCGCTCGTGTGCTCTAAAATAAATAAAGCTTAAAAAAACGACAAGATGTATCATTTGACCCAGAACTTCTTTTTTTTTCTTTTCTCAAATTATTATTTAAATTCTAGTTAGGTAACATACAGTGTAATATTGGTCTCAGGAGCAGAATTCAGTGGTCGACCCAGAATCTGTCCAAAACTTTTTTATAAATGTTTCCAAAGACATAAGTAAAAAGACATTCATTGCCACATTATTCATAAATTTGGAAGCAACTTAAATGCCTGGCAGTAGGGGGCTGTTGAATAAACCATCCATACCATGGACTCCTGGTCCACCATAAGAAATAAGGTAGATCTCTATGTACTGACATGAAAAGCCTTACAAGATATATTATGTTTAAAAAAGCAAGTGGCAGGGCGCCTGGGTGGCTCAGTCGT